TATGCTTCTACTTATTTATATCTTCTTTGGTGTCTTATAATTTTTTGAGTACAGGTCTTTCATATTCCTGGTTAAATTTATTCCTAGGTTGTTTGTTTGTTTTAAATCAACTATAAATTGGGTTATTTTTTTAGTTTCCCTTTTTGATAGTTCATTATTGGTATATATAAGTGCAACTGACTTTTGGGTTTTTATTTTATGTCCTGCTACTTGACTAAATTCATTTTTCAGTTCTAGTAGTGTTTGGGTGGAATCTTTAGGGTTCCTTATATACACTACCATGCCATCTGCAAATAATGACTGTTTTACTTCTTTGTTTCCAATTTGAATGCCATTTATTACTCCTTGTCTGATTGCTGTAGGTAAATGGACATCCCTGTCTTGTCCCCAATCTTAAGAGAAACACTTGTATTTTTTTGTCCATTGAGATGAGGTTGACTGTGGGTTTGTCATTTACAGCCATTATTATGTTGAGGAATGTTCCCTTTATTTGCACTTTGCTGAGAGTTTTAATCATAAATGAGTGCTGTTTTTTACCAAATGCTTTTTCTGCATTTGCATTTATTAATATGATCATGTGGTTTTTATTCTTCATTTTGTTTATATGATGTGTCACATTTGTTGATTTGCAGATATTATACCCACCTTGCATTTCCAGAATAAATCCCTCTTGATCACGGTATGCAATATTTTTAATGCATTGCTGTATCCAGTTTGCTAATATTTTATTAAGGATATTAGTATCTATGTTCATCAGGGATATTGGCCTATAATTTTCTTTCTTTATAGTGTATTTCTCTGGTTTTGGAATTAGGGTAATGCTCGTCTCATAAATTGAGTTGGGAGTCTTTCTTCCTCTTGAATTTTTTGGTGTAGTTTAAGAAGGATAGGTAATAGTTCTTCCTTGAATGTTAGGTAAAATTTACCTGTGAGTACATGCAGCCCAGGACTTTTGTTTGTTGGGAATTTTTTGATTACTCCTTCCGTATCACTAGTTGTTTCTTTGTCTCCTCATTTCATCAGTCTCTTTGTGTTTGTTTCTATGTATTAGTTATATCTGCCATGACTCCCAGTCTTCATGGGGTGGCCTTATGTAGTAGGTGTCCTGTGGGACCCAGTGGTGCAGTCTCCTTGATCACTTGTACTGGATGCTCCAGTAATGTCTGTGCGGGTTATGTCGGCCCCCCTGTTGTAATTGAGTCTTGGTTTCTGTTGGCCCATTCGTGCTCAGGCTAGCTAACTGAGGCTAAATCCTGATCACGATAGCATGGGAGCTACTGTGGAGGTGCTGACCACAGGAAGTGGAATTCACCTCAGCTGGGGTTTGGGCTGGCCAAGATCTCCCTTTGGATATGTTGTTTGTGAAGCTTTTGAATCCTGCTCTGATGTTGTCTAAAGCTGGTCACTGAGTGTGTTGGTTCTGGGCCTCTTGGGAGGGACACCATTGTGTGGCAATGTCAGACAGTGTCTGTGCCTGGTTCTCAGCCACATGTTTGGAGCCACAAGCAATCCAGTTTGTGGCTTCACTGGGCTTGGCTGCACGTGGGAAAAATAATGCTGCACACCAAATTTGGCTTTTACTAGCACCAGCCGGGTGCCAGGGCAGGTCAGCAAATATCCACCACACCCTGATGAGATCCCCCTCTGCCTGCCTAGCCTGTCCACTGCCTGTTAGGCTCAGTCACTGAAAGAGCTTCTGGTGGAGTCAGGGTGATGGGCCTAGTGGATCTTCCGTGAGGGAGAGGAGTCATTCAGGCTTCAGGGAATGTAGTGGTTGTGGTCCCTGCCCCAGAGCCAGGAGATTCAGTCTGTCCTGGATTTTGTTCTGACCTGGGAAAGTCAGAGCCACTAGGAGTAAGGAGGATGGGGCCTCTGGAATCCGGTGGTTGGGTTACACTCAAAGTTAAAGTTACACTCAGAGGAGTCTAGCTTCCAAGCCTATGCTGTGTCCTCAATATTCTCTTTTGCACCCAGTAGGAAATCATTTTTATTAGTTTTTGGTTCAATTTTACTTTTTAAAAATAAACACAAACAAGTTTATTTTTATCTTCCTTTTTGGATAAAAGGTAACATCCTATTTACACTGTTATTTTCTGCACCTTTTTCACATACCCCATGGTAGTATATGTTATCTCCTTATACTATTTTACAACTGCGTGATACTCAGCTGCATTGTATTATCAGGTAAATATACCATGGTTTATTCAGCCATCTTACTAGACATTTAGTTTGCTTCCATTTATTGCCAGTATATATTTGGAATAAATTTCTAGAAGTGAAATTATGGGTAAGTTATAACTGCAGGTGCGGTTTTGCTAGCTATTGCCACCTTTCCCTTCATACAGATCGTAACAGTTCCTATTAGTAATCTATAAGAATCCTTTTTTCCTTACAGCTTTGTCACAAAGTGTGTCAATGGATTTTTGCTAATTTGATAGTAGAAAAATGATTACATCAGTGTAGTTTTTTTGACTGGTAGTTAGTTCTCTTATGAGTGATCTTAAACATCTTTTCACTTACATTTTTGAACTATCACCATATCTTCTTTCTTTTTTGATATATATTTATTTCTTAAGGAGGTATTTCTTGGTTATTAAAGCTGCTACTACAGGGTCTAGTGCAAATAATGCCCCTTTTTTATTACAAAATCACAAGTGTGTAATTCTGTACATAATACATATCACATTCAAGCACACCATATGATATTTTAGGTGAAATGTTCAAATTAAAACAACAAATTATTGCACCCCTATTATTACCCTACCAACAACACTCAAGCAGGCCTTACTTCTGCTGGACCTTGTATTTTGAAGACTTAATCTTTAGATCTCCCAGTCAACTTTAATCAGTCAAAAACCAGTATTACCAGTTATGCATGATTAAATTAAAAGGACCTATGTACCTATTTCTTATATTCAAATAAATCACAATCTAATTTGTGAAAAAAGACTTGCATGAAGATCATTATTGTTCAGTGAAATAAATGTTAATGGAGAGAAATACCAAGCTCTGTGGGAGTACTGAGCCTGGGATGGAGTGACTTGGGGAGCAGGAAGATACTAAGAAATCATTGGTTAGCATATTAGGTTGTTTTTGGATTGAGTTTTTAAGAAAGAGGAGGAGATTGCTAAGCTGACTCTGCTTGGAAGAGTATTTCTGCTGGAGGAAACAATGCCAGACATGGTGTCTGCGGACTCACAGGTCATCTGGTCTTGTGGGTTGTGGAGGGTTGGGCATTGAGACTGCATCTGAACCATCCAGACTTACTAAGTCTCCACTTGCTGACTGTAAACCCAGTTCTAAATTAATTGCAGCAATACCAGCTCTAAGAATTTGATTGCACTGGCCAGGTGGCCCAGTTGGTTGGAGCGTTGTCCCACACATTGAAAGGTTGCAGGTTTGCTTTGTGGTCAGGACACATACTTAGTTTGCAGGTTTGATCCCCAGTTGGGCCACCTACAGGAGGCAACCAGTCAAGTGTTTCTCTTTTTCTCTTTGTCTAAAATCAATAAAAACATATCCTCATATGAGCATCAAAACATTTTTTTACTAAAACATTTATTTGTTTTTTATATTTTTCTCCTGAGACACACATTCCCTCTTGACAATCTTCCTGCTCCTCATTTCTAGTAAACATGGGAGGGGAACCCAGTGAAGTAAAGTGACTTTATGCCCTCCTTCCATTATTTTAGAGCAAGCCTAAAACCTTTATTTTTTTTGTCTGTGCTGTACTCTTAATTTATCTTACTTTTTGCTTTTTGCCAAGCTTGAGGTTCCTTATTCAGTGACTGGTTTCATTTGGTTAAGGCAGGAAGATCTGGCTACATGAGAGTGGTTATGAGAAAGTTAATGAGGCTGGAAAGGAAGGCAGGTGCTGGGTTACACGTAGATCAGAGCCTTGTGACTCATTTTGAGGAATTTGCATTTTATAGTTAGTGGAGAGCCTCTACAATTTTTGAAATAGATGAGGGAGAGGAGAGGGGCTAAAGGAGGGGAATGACCATTTTAGCCATTCATTTTTGAAAGGTAACTTTGACTGTTGAGGAAGATGGATAAGAGAAGGTATGTATAGTTGAGAGCAATGGTCCCCAGACTAGCAACCACACATCACCTGAGAACTTGTTAGAACTATGGATATTTAGGTGTTAACCCAGACCTATTGAATCAGAAGCTCTAGGGATGGAGTGCAGCAGCCTGTGTTTTATTGGATTCTGATGCATGCCAGAGTTTGAGACTAGGAGGCCAATGAGGCTACATTACAGTTTGTGAATGCTTTTCACATTAATTATGGTGTTGATTTTGTTGATGTTCATTATGTTTGTGTTTTACATTCACAATCGAGTGAAATAGAGTATTTAGGATTTTGTGACTTAGTTATTTACTTGAAGGCCTAATATTAAAAGATTTGAAAACCTGGGATTGAGTGGTAATGCATTATACCTGGGAAGGGGAAGATAGTCCAGGATCGTGTGGGAGAAAACAGTTACAGTCAGTGAAAATATTGAAGTAGAATAAAACAAGTGAGAGGTACTTAATGTTGAATGTTCAATGTTCCCTGTACATGACATTGGTTTGTAATGTCATACTTGGAATCTGTAGTAGGGAATACTGATTGAAAATACAAAAATAGGGGGAACATGAACTCTTTGTGGAGCCCAAAGGAAAGGATGGTGGGTTTTCCCAAAATTTGCCAAGATGCTCTTGTGCAATGAATTCCACAGCTGTTAAGAGGCAGTCTACTTTCAGTCTTTACATAATAGCTAGCAGCTGATTTGCATCTAACCCAGTTTTCATTTGGTTTTCTTTGAGGATGCCAGGGCTGTGGGTTTAAATTTCAACTTCGTTGGAATGGGACTGGGTAAATCTGATAATCATCTTTTTTTCTTTTATTTCCTTTGCCAGGTGACCAAAAGTACAGATAAAATAAATGCTTTGTAAATATCAAAATTGTGTCTTAAAAGGATGAGTAATCTTTTTTTCTCCTTAAAATTTTATTCCAGGACCCATCAGTTACACAGGTGACAAGAAATGTTCCTCCAGGACTTGATGAATACAATCCATTCTCGGATTCTAGAACAGTAAGACTATTCTTAATTGAACTACTTTTAAATGTTAAAAGTAAAATTAAATAACAGTTTTATTAGTATGTTTTTTTTAGTCGAATGGTTAAATTTATGTAAAACAAGCTTTTAGTATTTTATTTAGAATTTAGCAAGTTAATTTTTATTTATTTTTATTATTATTTTTAAAAGATTTTATTTATTCTTAGAGAGGGGAAAGGAAGGAGAAAAACATCAGTGTGAGAGAGAAACACTGATCAGTTGCCTCTCATATATCCTCTGCCTGGAGATGGAACCCACAACCCAGGCTTTGGCCCTGACTGGGAATCCAACTGGTGACCTAGATGATGCCCCACCAACTGAGCCACACCCATCAGGGCTTATTATTTGTTTCAAACCTCACCCAGGGACATGTGTATTGATTTTAGAGAGAGAGGAAGGGAGAGAGGGAGAGAAAAACATCAATGTGAGAGAGAACTGATATGAGAGAGAAACATCCATCAGTCGCCTCTTGTACATGCCCTGACGGGTTGGGGAGGGTCAAACCTGCAATCTAGGTATGTGCCCTGTCAGGGAATCAAACCCACCAACTCTTGGTATTTGGGATGATGCTCCAACTAGCTGAGCTACCTGGCCAGGGCAATTTTTATTTTTTGAAGAGGAAAGAATACTAGTAGTAATTGAAAATTACTTTTGCCCTGGCCAGGTGGTTTGGTTGGAGCATTGCCCTGTACACTGAAATGTTGTGGGTTTGAATCCTTAGTTGGGGTACATGCCTGTGTTGCAGGTTCGATTTCCAGTTGGGGTGTGGGTAGGAGGCAGCTGCTTGATGTTTCTCTTTCAGATTGATGTTACCCTCTTTCTCTCTGAAAACCAAATAAAAAAAAATCCTCAGGTGAGGATAGCAAAAACATACTTTGATTTTAGTGAAATACTACTGCACATTTTCCTATATGTTCTATAAATTAAATTGCTAATAATCCTAATATATAAATCTTACTGCAATAGTTTAAATAGGAGAGGAAGGGTTTTTTTTTTTTTCGTATACAGGTTGTCTTCATGGTAATGTGGAGTAATGTTTTTTTACAATGAGAGAGACCTGTATATGGAACTATACCATGAATATTTGTGTGATTGCCATTTGAATTATGTTATTCTGAATAATACTAGCTCTGCTAGACTAGAACCTCTGGAACTTTATCTGGCCTAGAAACATATTCTCTTCAGAATTTAGTCTTGATTTATAAAATATAGGAGTATAGGGAAAAAATCCTTGTAGAATGGAGGTTCTCTACCTTGAAAGTATATTAGAAACACCAGGGGAGCTTTATTACACTGTCTATTAGGGTCCTAATCTCTTCTAGTTAGGACAGGTTTTTGTTTGTTTTTGTCTTAGCTCTTTTATTGTGAACCAGCTTTGAGAACTAGTGAAGTAGGTACTGTTGAGACTTCTTCCCAAAACATTCTCTGGTAAATAATTTTGTCTTTTGTGTTTGAGTCTTTACTTAAATATCATAGTCACAAGGTCCCTAATTGTAACAGTTGCTGGCTGTTGAAGTGTCAATCATCCCCTTAACAGTATGGGAATTTTTCAGTTGTGTGCTTGGGTGTACATATCAATATGATTCTTACTCAATCACCTTTTTCTCATGTATGTTTTTTATAGTCTAGAAAATAATTCAAAGAGATTATGTAGGGTTTCAGTTGGAAATTTTTTCAATTTTATTATATTAACTTTTATTTTTTGGAAGAACTTTGTACACAGTGAAAACATTAGAATAAGACTGATACCATTTAATACCTTTTGATTATGTGTAGCAACTGCGACCGAGGCAGGGCTCACTAAACTTAATTGAATAAGTAAATTTCAGATTGAACCATGTGAAATGGCCAATAAGTGGACCAGCTTTGACAAGTAAATATGGCAACCTCATCTGGGATTGGTGAAGATAGGATCAAGACATTTTAAAGTTTGCTGATAAAGAATAAAAATAGGTTTTCATATAATTTTTTGGGAAGATTTTACTAGCAAGAAATACATTTAACGTTGACAGGAGCAGTTTTAGATGATTTTTATCAGATATAGCAGTATTCTTTATTAAGTTGTCTACTTTGTGTCATGTGCTTTATCTGTATTATTGAATTCTTACGACATTCAAAATGGATATTTTTAAAGGTCATCCAGTTTGTAAGTGGCAGAACTGGTTTACTAACTCCTCTGTTTTCTGTAAAACTTTGCCTTCTCCATTTCCCTATTACTAATGCCTAAGAAATAGAAGATATTGTCCTTGCACATGAAAAATTTCTACCTAATTGAGATTTAAAAATCACATAAATGATACACATCCAGGAAAAATAAAATACAAAAACGTAAATTATGGCCCTAAGTGTTGAGACCTCACAGTCAGGGAGGGGTCTCAGTAGACAGCTGGGCCAGGTGGCAGTGAGACACTGACACAGTGTCAGAACCGGGCAGGCAGTTACGCGAGCGCTCCTGTGCTCGGCTTCCACTAAACATGTTACACTGTGAAAAGCACAGTCAAAGTAAAAAAAAAAATTAAAAATTCTTTTGTTTCTGATAAGCATGGTTTGAGAAATTTGTCTTTTTTTTTGAATGACTATGGCTATTTTCCAAAACAGATTAGATGTACATGGGTAGTTGATGTAAGTATTATGTTAGAACTTGGTCCAAATATTATTTTAGTTTATTGGTGGTATTCATATTCAAAATGAAGCTCTGGATTGTTGCATAAAGGTGGGATGAGCTGCTTGAAGTTAACTAGGAAGATCCTTTAGCAGAATGAATGTATAACATTGCTGAGATATAGAAAGTTTCTGCCTTGGTTTTTTCTTCTTTTTTTTAAATTAGATTTCCTTTTATATTTAATTTTCTGTTTGAATGGCACTTTAAATTATTTAAGGAAGGCACCAATTAAAGTATCTGAATAATTTTAATAATTTGTATATTCTTTTAAAGAAATTTTAAAAGATTTATTTATTTTTAGAGGCAGGGGAAAGGAGGGAAAAAGAGAGGGAGAGAAACATTGATGTGTGGTTGCCTCTTGCATGCCCCCTACTGGGGATGTGGCCTGCAACCCAGGCAGGTGCCCTGACTGGGAACTGAACCATCACCCCTTTGGTTTGTAGGTTGGCACTCAAACCACTGAGCCACACCAGCCAGGGAAATAATTTATGCATTAATTCAGTCTATATTATAAATTCAGAGAAAGGAGTTATCACAGTATAAACTAAGTCAGTCTGTTGGCAGTATAATGAAAGGCTATTGAACATTTGAAATGTGGCTAGTCTGAATTGAGATATGCTATAAAAATGATGGTAGTCTTGAGTTATAAGATATTGTTTTTTGTTTGAACTAAAGTGCATTTCCCACTGAAATTATTTTGGGCCTGGTGGATAGATTTCTTGGCCTACCCTCTAAAATTTAATATATAAATTACTAGAAGAATTAGTTCGTTTTTTAGAATTGGTATGTACTTATGGAGAATGTTTCCCTTTTAAATTAGATAACAGTTGAAATGTCTACTGCAGTTTGATTTTCACTAATTTCGGCCACTGGTGGTGGCATTCATGGTTTGGGACAGGATATCTTCTGGTGGGTTTTAAAGTATAGGAATAGGGACACCTCCGTGTGTCGGGAAACGTGGCACTGCTGATATAAATCTATAGTGACGTTTCTGAGGGCCTTGGTTTACTGTCACATTGATTTTCTTCAGGGATAGGCTACCTTCAGGGATGGGCCTTTTCTGCTTGGCTAGTTGTTGCCGTATATGATTTCTGTCATCTATACAGTGAGATCTGTACTTTCTGGCAGAAAGAAGAATGAGGAGAAGAAAATGTCAAGACTCATATGCCCATGTGGTCATTTCTGACCATAAGGGAATATTGGGGTAATTAATTGATTTACCTCCATAAGTAAGAGCTGCCTCTAAGATAATTTAGGATGTAAAGTAGACTGAGATAAGACCTGGATTCTAATCTAGGCCGTGCCACTAATTAGTTGGTAACTTTAGGCAAACAATTAATCTCTTTGGACATCTTTTTTTTTTTAGTGGGTAAAAATGGAAGCAGGATGGAAAATGTTGAGGGAAATAATTTCTAATATCAGTTTTTCTTTTAAAAATGGATACAAATTTTAACTCCAGGGACTGACTGAATATAGTGCGTTTGGTAGTTTACCTATCTCTAACACTGTTAAAAACATTTTCTGTACTGTATTGGCTGTCTTTATTTCTTCTTGTTGTGCATTTCTTTTTTATCTTTTCCTTTCCCTTTTGCTTCTTACTGTCTTGTCTTTCTTGGAACTTGTTATCTGTCCTTTCTGAAACCAATCTTCTTTGTCTCTAATCTCAGTTAATGGTAATTGTTGCCTTCCATCCTCTTATGTCACTGGCTAGAAATACCTGAGTCCTCTGGCTCCAACAGCTTCTTTTTTCCTACCTAATCAGCCGCCACATCCTGTTACTTATACTTCCAGGAGATATTACCTGTCTGTTCTTTTTATTCCTACTAAATTGTCCTAATTCAGGTACTCTGTGGAATAACACAGTGGCCTATCTACTTACCTCGTTTTTGCACTGTGACTAGAATTATTTTCTTAAAGCAGAGGTGTAGTGTTAGGTCCGTTCTCCTTAGAAATGTGTGCATTGATTATGTGTTACCTGTTTAGTAGTGTGGCAGTGTGGGGCCCCACATGACTTGGCCTCAGATTGCCTTTAACTTTTCTTAGTAGAAGTGGCTTTAGGCTTACAGAAAACTTGAGCCGAAAGTATAGAGTCCTCCTGTATTGTACTTATCCCCTAGATTGTCTGTTTAGTGTTATCCTCTACTGGGCCATTTGTTGCAGTTGAAGTCATCTGCTAACACCCACCCTCATTGGGGCCACCACCCCTACACCTTTTATCAGTCATTGCATAGAGTCAAAGAGGCTGTGTGTGGACATAACAGCTTCCCTAGGCTATCCTCACCTCTTTGAATGGGTCAGGATGAAGCTCTCATAC